GAGCCTGCCTTGCACCAGGCCCTGGGGAGACAGGAGTAAGCAGAGAGGAAGACATTGTCCTTGCCCTTGAGTTCCGCCTGGCAGGGTTCAGGACAGCACTTCCCATCTGGGGGTACTTCAGCTCCCCCAGCGTGTATTTAGAACATCTGGAGCGATTGGGGGTTGTCACATTGGGTAGGGGTGCTGCTGGCATCAGGTAGGGGGAGGCTAGAGGGAGATTGTGGCACTTTGGGCAGCACAGGCCATCCTACACACCACACACACACACACACACACACACACTCAAGAACTCCCCGCCATCGGAGTGCATGCATCTGGGTCAGTTTCTAATTCAGGATTCATGTGAAGTGTGCAAATGGTACAACAGGGAGCCGCGGGGTGGGGGGTGACAGGCATAAAGCTGTCTGAAAGGGGGCCAGGGAGCCTTGGGCATTAAGCCTGACTCTAAAGGAGGATTAGGCGGCCTGTTCCGGTGTTGGGGGAGAAGGCGTGGGATGTGCGAAGGCCACCCCGTGTCCCCGCCCTCCTCCCCCCTCCTGCAGAGCAGAACGAGGGCACCCAAGGCCTGCGGGAGTGCCACGTGCCACAACATGCTAGGCGGCTTCCGCTGCGTCTGCCCCTCGGGCTTCGACCAGGCCCTGGGCGGCTGCCAGGACATGGATGAGTGCGCGGTGGCGGCGGCGCCGGGTGGCCCCTGCAGCTTCGCCTGCGCCAACACGCCTGGCGGCTTCCTTTGCAGCTGCCCTGGTGGCTACTTCCGCGCTGGGCAGGGGTGAGGGGAGCGGGTGGAGCAGGGCGGGAAGGGCAGACCCCCTCCAGACCGTGCATCTAGGCCTGGACACACGTGTGCAGAGAGCTGTCTGTGTGCATGAGGCTCACCCCTTCCCCCCCTCCCGCCTGCCTGGAGCTGTACCCTCCTGGGGCCCCGCAGGCTCACCCGCCCACATGGGGGTGCACACCTCCCTGTACTACCCGTGCATGTATGCGCAGGCTGGCGGACGTGCACTCGCTGGGTACATGCGTGCATTTCTGTACCCCGAGTGCACATGAAATCCTGAACGCGGCTTCATCCTTGCGTATTAGCTCAAGCATGTGCGTGTCCAGGGCCCCTCGTGTGGGGCGTGACACCTCTCACACCTTCCTGAGCACACTCAGTCACTCCTGTAAACGTGCATGCCTGCGCCATCCTCCCCACGTGCATGCCGGCTCACACCTTCTCCCAGGCATACCACACAGTACAGGCACTTGGGTGCAACCACACACATACCACAGGTGCACATAACCACCTACCTATGGTCCCCCTGCAGCCGGCCTCAGTGTGCTGCATGGGGGTGGGGCACTGGCTGGGAAAGTGGCCCCTGAACTCCGACCCTCCCCTTCTGCCCCAGGCACTGTGTCACTGGCCTGGGCTTAAGCTCTGGACCCCAGGACGCCCCAGATCAGGAAGCGCAGCTATCACCCCAAGCCTGCTATGAATGCAAGATCAACAAGCTCTTCCCCCAGGAGCGGCCAAGGCGCAGTGCCCACGGGGACAGTCATGTGCCACTGGGCTGCATGTGGTGGCAGCAGGGAGGGGGACCAAAGGAGGTGGGGAGGCGGCTGAACAGAATTCCCCCCTGCCCCATTTCTTGGTGTCTGCTCAGACCTCCCCATATCCTCTCCTCCTAGAACTTCATGCACCTCCCTCCAGGCTCTGGAGAAGGGGAAGCAGGTCAGCCCACTGAGGCCCCAGCAGAATCATTCCCTATTCTTCTGTGGAAGAGCAATGCCTGGTTCTCCAGCCTGATCTGGGCTGGGTTTACCACCACCAGTCAAGCAGCCCCCACTCCCCAGGCCCTGCTGCCCCTCCACGCCACTCTGCCCACTCCACCTCCCTCACCACTGCCCACTCTCACCCCAGAAACACTATCTTGCCGCCATCAAATTGGTGCCAACTCAGCAACCCTGTGTGGCAGGGTAGAACTGACCTGTGGGTTTCTGAGATTGTAACTCTTTATGGGAGTTTAGAGCCTCCTTTTCCTGTCTCAGAACACCTGGTGGTTTCAAACTGCTGACCTTGTAGCTACCAGCCCAACAAGTAACCACTGCACCTGATAAACACTGTGGGGGAAAGAAAGCCAGAAGTAGGCTGGAAGAATTGGGTCTAAGAGGCGTTCTATATTCAACTATTTACATATGAGCAGGTCACGTTTCCCTCTTCCACCTTCCAGGGGGCTCTTTAGCTTGCTGAGAAAAACTGTGGCTGTATATATGATTCCATGTTGTTGGTGTTGTGTGCCATCTGGTCGACTGCTCTATCACCAACCCTTGGAACTCAATCAGAGTCAAGGAATATGGTTGCCAGGGGAGACCGCTCCTGGGATTGGCAAAAGGCCACCTGGCCAGAGACTGGCTCTGCCTTTGCCTGCAATAACAGGTTAGTGCCAGCAGGTGTCAGTAAGAGCATGTGTCTGAGCACCACTCCTGGGAAACACTAAACTCTCCAGACTGAGAACAGGGATAGCTTTTGCTTTAATACATTAAAACACTCCACTGGCATGTAAATTAGGCTAAATAAAACACAGCCAGGCCCAGAGCAAAGAAAAATACATAAATAACCTCCTGTGTGATTGCCTACGTCACCCGGCCCTGGGAGCCTGCCGCTGGGGATCACAGGCCTATTCAGAGCCCTGTCCAGCTGCCAGGATCAGGAAGGCGCTCAGATAAAGAGAGGTTTGTCATCTGCACACAGGGACTTCTCAGGGAGCCCAGATCAGGAAGTTGGGTGGCTTCCCGGGAACCGGAAAACTGCGGGCAGCTCTTCTGTCTAGGGTGAGCTCGCTCCTCCCAGGAGGGCTCCGGAGTTTTCTCTGGGGCTGGCTCACACCTCCAAGAGCTACCTCAGGAGCCTCTAAGGGACCAAGGCTCCAGAACCAAGCATTATCTGACTGACCACCTCCTGTCTGGGCCTCTGAGGCCAAAGCCATGGTTCCCTCGGTCCAAGCTGGCGGGGGTAGCCCTGGGGGCCATTCAGCCAAGACAAGGGGTCAGGAATTGGGTTTCACCTTTCTTGCCTGGACACCAGCCTGGGCCCTCATGCCTCTGCCCAGATGGACCCTAAGCCTTGCAGGTAGGGTGTCACTACGAAGCCAGATGTGACAGCAGCACACGATGACAGCACAGAGGTGCCTCTTGTCTCTCCATAAAATGCATTCTGTGGACACGGCACCACGTCTCCCTTCCTCACATAAAGAGGCTCTTGGAAGTGAGTCCAGCATCAGAATGATATAAATCCAACCTTCTTGTTTATAGCTGCATATTCTTCCACCCACGAATCGGTGGTAAATGATTCCCTGCCTCCACTGTTCCAACTCGCTCGCTGTTTATAAGCACAATGAGCTAATGTTCTACCAAAGCCAGTTCTGTTGGGGATCGACTCTGACCAGTGCCGGCTGCATGTGGTCGGAGTAGAGCTTTGTACTCCGGAAGGTTTTCAATGGCTGTGACCTTTGGGACATAGATCTCCAGGCTGATCTTCCAAGGTACTTCTCTGTGGAATCGGAACCTCTCACCTCTGGGCTCCTGCCCACCCCCATCCTGCTTCCCCAGTCTCTAACCAGCCTCTTGATTTGTCTCCCCCAGGTGAGTCTGGCCAGCCTATCCGTGGACTCCCCTCTGGCCTTGAGCCTGAACCTCTCTGGGCGGGACCCAGAACATCCTGGAACTGTGCTCCGTGCAGGCTCAGCCCAAGAGCTGGAGCCACTATGCCATTGCCCGAGGCAATGAGCAGGGCTTCTTCCACATGCACCACCTCCCAAGAGGCTTCAGCACCCTGCAGCTGGGCCCGGGGAGGCCGGCTCCTGGAACCTACCGCCTGGAGGTAGTGAGCGTGGCAGGGCCCCAGGCCACCAGGCCAGAGGGACAGCCAGGGCCAGTGGGCCAACCCTTGTGAATGAAAGTACAGCTGCAGGTTCTTTAGGCAGGAGGCCACACCTCCCACCTGAGCCCAAGCCTTCCCACCACTGCAAGGCTCTGGCCAGCCTGCCTGTCCCCACAGGGGTTGTCACAGACCCTGGCTCTGAGCCTGGCCTCGATGACCCGCAGGCTATGGTCCCCCTCCAGAGGTGGGAGAGGCTGATGGCTGGCCGGGCTAGACTCCAGACCTCAGGAGTGCCACTGGAAGAGCTCACTCAGGCAAGCTCAGCCCCCATCTTTCATGGAGATTGCTGAAGACTGCAGCAGGGGCCCCCTGCAACCTTGTGGACACCGGAACCACCCAGCAGGGCCAGGTCCTCCCCTTCCCTGCAGGCAGCCGGAGCGGTGCTAGGGACACCCAGTGCACACATTCATCCCCCCCACTCCCCCACCCCCGGGGAGGCTGGGCCCTCGAGAGTGATTTTATAGCAGAAGCAGAGATGACAATAAAGTTATTTGGGGTGAAGTCTGTATTCTGACCAGTTCTCCCCACGTGTGGGTGTTGCCCTAACCCAGACGTGGTCACCAGGGCTTCTGGAATACAGCAAAGCTTTTGCTGGGTCCACCTTCTTCACAGCAGAGATCTGGCACCTTGGTTCTGCTCATCGGGCTGTGCCAGCTGCTACCACCCACCTTTTTCCAGAGTCTTCCTCCACCATGAACAGACACTGGGTGCTCCCTTCAATAGTGACACACACACACACACACACACTCTCTCTCAGGGACATGCATGAGCTACCATCTCTACAAAACCAGGGACCAAACCCATGGCCGTCAAGTTGATTCAAACTCCCGGCGACCCTGTGTGCCTGGGCCAACCGGGGGCTTTCTTGGCGGTGAGTGATCTTTGCAGGTGCAGATTGCCAGACCTGTCTTCCGCAGCACCACCACCAGGCAGGCTGGAGTTGCCAGTCTTTACACTCGCGGTGGGGTGCACACCGTTTTCTTGAGACATCGGCCTATTCCACGTCTGTGGGGTCATATCGTTCAGTGCACTTGACTCTCCTCCCTGGGTGGGGATGCTGAAGTCTTGTGAGGACAGGAATGGGGTGGGGATTGGGTCAGCGACTCTCCCCAGTGGATCTGCCTCAGCCAGCAGAGCAGTCCCTCCTGCCCAGCCACAGGACTCTGTACTTGGTCCTGTTCTGGCCAACCTTCCCATCTGTGTGTCTGGGCCTGTCCATCCCTTGGCTGGTCTCAGCACACCCCCCTGGGGCAGAGGCAGAGCAACTACACGGATTCCCCAGCTTATCAAGAGATGCCCAGGGAACGAGCAGTGTGCTCAAGGTCAGTGCTGGGCATCGTGGGGTTGCACTCACACTTGGTCTGGAGCCGTTTCTGTGAGCACCGAGGGCACAGATCTGGGGTAGATGGTGGGGGTGGGACACTTGGAACCATGGACAGTTCCCCAAATTGAGGTACCAACTTGTCCCATGATGACAGAGACAAAACTGGTACTCCAAAAACCAAAGGTTTATTTAAAAACTCAAACAGGGAATTCCCCCATTGTCGGCAGTGTAGCATCAGGTCCAGCTGGATCCAGAATCCCAGCGGGTGTTGTCAGAGTTCTTATCTGTCTCTGGGAAAGCCCCTCCTGGGAGGGTTGCTTGGACCGGAGCTTTGCAAATGCCCAGAGGCGTGGCCTGGGTGGTGGTGTGGGTGATGTATCCGTTAGGATGCTCTTTACTGCAAAGCCCACTCCCCACGAGTGACTCAGGCAAAAGGGCTTGAAACAAGGCCAGGTTCCTCTTTCTAGTTGCCAGAGGGGCAGTGCGGGGAGGGGAGGTGGACTGACAAAGGGCAGGGATTGAGGTCTGCCGGGAAGGGCTCAGAGGGCTGGGGGGGGGCGGGGGGTGTCACAGTCCTGCAGGAGAGAGCAGAGAACCTGGCAGGTGATGGGGGCCAGAATGGGGAGTGTGGGTGGAGGACCACCTGGCATTTCATTTCAGCCCTTGCTGAAAGCCTTTGGGCACCCAGGTCAGGCCGATGGACACCCTCACCTAGGCCTCCTTGGGCCCACAGGAGGACTTCCCCTGGCCACCTGGGTAGAAGGCAACCCTTGCCCCCCAGCAGAAGTGACAGGCACAGAGAGGGGCTCATGAAGAGCATCGTTGCCTAAGTCAGCTGCTGTCCGGGAGGGAACTTCTTTCTGGCTGCTCTTGGCAGGGTCACTAAACTTGGAGACGGGATCCTGGAGGCTCTGGTCCTCGGCTTCTTCGCCTTATGATGATGAAAGCCTGTCCGAGAGACAAAGGCAGGGATAGATTAAGAGCTGCAGCCACACTCTTGGAGGCCCTGGATCCAGCCGGACCTGAAACCATCACCCAGTGATGGTTTCTCTGCCAATAACTAATGAATTTCCCATTTGCTTGTGTATCCAACTCCGGCAACTGAGTCCCAGCGACTCCCTCACTCCCCGCCTCCCCCAGCAACTGGCCCTTTTGTGGGGAGGGGACAGCTGCCAGCATGCTAGGATTTGATTCCCTCCCCAGCTGCACAGGCGCCCCTGGGCTGAGGGACTGGGGTCTCAGGCACCTGCGCCTCGGAAGGGCTTTCGGAAGAGTCTCCATAAGCTTCCGCATTGCTTCCCGCTGACTTTACTGCTGCCTTCCAGGAGCTTCATGCCGTTCTGCACCCACAAGGCTTGTGGGTCCCCACACACCTTCCTGTGTCCCAAGACGAAACTGCAGCGGGTGCAGAGGGCACCGAGGCGAACGGGTGAGGGCGGTGCCAAGCAGTGTGTGCGCCCCCTGCCCAGCTACCCATCCCCACCACCACCACCCCGCCCCCCACCAAACTCACATCACAGCAGGCAGGTTGCAGCTTTCGCTGACTTCCTGGTACGTGTAACTGTGAGCACATTGGAGCAGGGCCGGGCTAATGGGTCTGTTGTAAGCCAGGCAGCAGTCTTCAAAGGTGCCTGCAACCACACGCCCCACGTTTGCTCGTTTCTGCGCAGTGCGCACGTGGCACGGGTGCATGCTGGATCAGGCACATTGACGCATGCATGCACATATGTACCAAGATCCTCCCAGGCTCGGCAGGGCCAGGGGCAGCCCTGGCAATCAGGAAGTGCCAGCTCACTCTTGGCCCATTAATATCAGAGCAGTTGATGGATTGGAGGGGGCATGGGCCCCAGAAGGCCTGATAACATCAGATTAACCAGGGGCCAAGGCCACTTCCACTCCTAACCTGGGGCAGAGGGCAGCTGAAAGCAGGTGCATCGCTGCCCCAAGCAGGGGCTCCCCCTCTGCCTACCTTGTTGTCGTTGATTGCTCTTGAGTCAATGCCAACCCACACGGGAGAGAGTAGACCTGCTCCCTGGGGGTTGCTTGACTCTGCTCTTTGTGGAAGCAGACCACCAAGCCTTGCTTTTATGGCACTGCTGGGAGGGTTGAGCCCTCAACCAGCCATTTGCACCACCCAGGGATCCTCTGACAAGCCCCCAGTCTTGCCCAGTGTCCAGACACACGTAGAGATGTTGGACAGAGAGGCCCAGCCATCTGCAACCCAGCCCTCCCTTCCGGAGCCACTGCTGAGCCTGGGGTAGCCCAGCAGGATGAGTGGTAGAGTGACGGAGGGGTGACACCCCCTGCATCTCCCAGCCTTGGCCCTGGGGGACAAGAGGGCTGTTGGCCCCTGGCAGAAGCCTCTGCAGTAGTGTCTGCGTAGCCACCGAGCAAGATCAGTACAATCCTCCTTGCAAGCTGGAGTGATCCAGTTCACGTGTTGTGACCACATCAAAGAGGCTGCTCGCCCACTGGCTGGGGTCTGTGTCTCTCCCAACCCCACAGAAGCAAAGCCTCTCTTCAGATGGACAGGCCCTGACACGGACGGGTGGATGGCAGGGCCAGTCAGCAGGATGCCCCAAGGCTAACAGGGGCTTCCTTGCTAAGCTGCAGGGAGCATTCCGTGTGGGTGTGCTGAGCCCACACACAGTGGTTCACAACAAACTGGTAAGCATGAGGAAGCCTGGGCCTACCTTGGCTGGTTGAGTAATCCACCCACCCCTTCCCAGAGAGCCATTCCAGGGGTTGCGACAGCCCTTCCCCAAGAGCAAAGGGTCAGTTCTGATAGCAAGATGAGGGATACAGCCCAGCCTTTTCTCCTGGGCAAAGGCTACAAACACTGGGGGCAGGGCTTGGGACTCTCAAACCCAGTCCTGGGGCAGGTGGAGCAACAGGTGGGGCCCTGGGGGGCCCTGGGTTGCCAGTTTCTGGGTCTCAGCGCTCCCCACCCCCACCCCCAGCCTAGAGAATATGTGGAACACGGCACTAGCTCCTGCTCGCTCAAGCCCTGAAGCCCTGCTATTGGAGAAGAGGTTCTCTGTGCAAGGAGCCCTGGGCTTAGACACTGCCAGAGTAATGATCATGTGCCCCAGTGTCGCTGCCCTGTCCTGGGCAGAGAACCTCGCTGCCCCAACTCCTGAGAGCCTCAGTGGGGGCTATTCACTCACTCAATGCCACCAAGTCGATTATGACTCACAGCAACCCCCATAGGACAGGATCGAACTGCCCCTGAGGGTTTCTGGGACTATAATTCTTTATAGGAGTAGAAAAGCCTCATCTTTCTTTCCGAGAGAGGCCGGTGGTTTCGAACTGTTGACCTTGCCGTTAGCAGCCCAGTGCATAGCTCAGGCTCCTCCAGTGAGGATTAAGATTCTTATTTTGCAGCAAAGGAAAGAGGTGACCCGTGATGCTCAGCCACATTGCACAGGCAGTGGGGTCTAAAGGGGACAGAAGCCACCTACCTGTTCTCCAGAGCTCTGGTCTCAAGCCCAAACCTGGTTCTGCAGACTGAGAGGTAGCAGCCTGTCCTGGAACTAGGAGCCACAGCTGGGGGCCACCCTCTGTCCCCATGGTTGCTAGGCCGCTAGGGTCCTCCCAGGGAAAGGGGACTAGAGACCTCTGCCTCCTCTCCTAAAGCGCTCCCTGCTCCCACCCCCCAACCTGGCCAATCAAGAATGGGAGCCAGCAAAAGAAGTCAGTGGAGGCTGGGGCAGTA